AATAGTAATCAACCTCGAAATAAAAACTAAATAAGTGGTAGGTAGAATTTTCCTTTCAATGACTGTTTTCTCACTACTTTTTACGGGCTTTAACTTTTGACCATTTTATCACAAATTTTTACTTTATAATATTATTTTTTTTATCTACTTTTTCTTTTCGTACTATATTTAGTATTATTTATTATTATTAGTAGTATTTTTTGCTACACGCTTGTTACTCCTGAGTGGCAGCGGCGGGGGCGAAGGTAGTTACTTTCCATCTGGTGACCCGTCTGATCGTTTGCCCCCTCTTCTATAAAAAAAAAATAGCCCGCTGTTGGTCATAGACCTCACCTACGGTTACGGGACGGTTAACACTGAGGCTTTGCCGTGTTGGCGGGTGTGCTTCCAGTCGATCTCGAGGTGCAGAGACATGCAGCCATGCACTATTCAAGACAACAAAACATGGAATGCGATTTTTTGGGCACGCGGGATCGTGGTAAAATTACAAAATTGCTTCAACAGCAGTCTGATGTCTATAATGACCTCATAGACGAATGGCAACAACGCTGGGACGAATCATCCAAGGGGCGCCATCTTTACCAATTCTTTCCATCTGTTCGGTTGCCGAGGACATGGCTAGAGGTGGATCACTTTGTTGCTCAATTTCATACGGGTCATGGTAACTTTAAGAGCAAGCTGTATTCATTTAAATTAGTCGAGTCACCATTGTGTCAATGCTCAACACCTAACTCTCACTATGAACAGTCTGCTCATCTTATCCTCTGAGAATGTAGTCTTTGGTATAATGAACGTAATATAATGCTGAATAGCTTGCAGGTGACATCTGGAGCGGTATACTATGGGGATCTTGTGTCAACTAGGGTGAATTTCCGCGCGTTCAGGCCATTCTGCCATACATATTATAGAAATCACATATAGCTCACCTAGGACCCGTGATATTTTGTGGCCGTGGTGCTTCCCTGTTTAAAAGGGTGTATGCCTATTTTACTTCATTTTGTCTCCCGCTTTGCTGAGGAGGGGAGTGGATTTAATGTATTTCCAAGTCCTCCAATTTTCTTCTGATTAATTTCGTTGCGGGTTCCAAGACAGTTTAATTTCTTCCTGGGACTTTCCGAGTGTCATAACTGGGTGTGTTCGTGGGTCACTGCTGTGGATCCTGGTGTACAGGAGTTACAGTGGTGGGCGTGTGGGTGGGATTAGTCCCTATAAAGGCCTCACCTGAGAAAGGCGGTTAAATATTTTTAACAAATTCTCCCCAGTGTCACAGACTATTATTATAGAGACAGGTACCTAACAGCGTTGGGCTAGGATATATCCGCCTTATCTACAGCTAACTATCTGATGGATGTGGTTTGCATTTCTGCTTTCAATTACTCCTGTAAATAACGAAATGACTTACACTTTGAGTCTTCCTATTATTCTGCTTGTCTAGATTGATCGTCAACTTGTTCATTTTATGAGATTCGTATTTGATTTGTAAAAGAATCTCATAGCCCTCCGATTGGTTAACATCGAGATCTTTAATTTTCTGTTAAAACAAGGGACCAAACTTTCTTATAACACATCCACTAAAGATCATTTTGATATCTCAGACTAGCGTGGACATCACCTGGCATCTATCCCGTTTCTCTTTATGACAGTTGTAGCCGCTTTTCGTGTCAGGCGGACTACTCACCGGCTTACCCAGCGGAGAGATTCACGAGATTACCTCAGGGCGCCTTGTAGAAAATAGAAGTGTGTGCGTGTGGGAAACCTAAGGGACTCCTTAGAGAAAGACAACTTACACCTCAGTCATACATACATGTATATTTCCAATTAATTCAGAGTTACAATAATAAAAAAACATAAAATAGTGGGTATCTAAAAAAAATCCCGCAGCGGCGCGCGTCAAGGCCTAGCTGATGCTGCTCGGAGCCTCCTTGTCATCAATCCAGCAGGTCACTTCCACACCCGCCCGAGTCGGCTATTTATATTAGGTATAATGGAAGGTTCAATATTTATATTAATAACATTAACAAGAAGTACGTAACCCTTGAATAAGGCTGTCCGCTTGCTTGGTGAGCCGCGTGACTGCCAGTTTACCAGAGGGTACTGAGAAACTCGATTTCGCACCAGAAGGCCACAAACGAAAATAGCACGCCGTCTGAGACTGATTGTCTTGACCCGAAATCTGGAGCCCTACGAATGGATTAGCACTCATATAATCGATCAGGTTCCAGAAACAAATGACTACAAGAAAATTAAGATTAACTTACCACTGGCGTGGGTACTTAGAACAAAGAAAATATTACTAAAATGAACTACAATGAGATTACCAGACAAACAAAATACTATTTTAAGATCGGAAGACAAGAATTAGCAGAGTGTCCCCTGTGGCTGAAAGCCGGACTTATATATGCTCGGTTTGTGAACTTTCTAGAAAGAATCCCTACTTTAACATTTTAAATTTGACATTTAAATTATCATCGAGGTTAACACGAACCAAATCAAAAGTAACTCGCTTCCTACCATAACAGGACACTTTTAACACCAATACAATTTGTCAGGATAAATTCTTACTATGACTTACCAATAAAACAACGCCATCTAGTGGTACGATGGCGGACGAAGAACATCAATACTATAGTTACAATCTACTTTGGATAAATCAATAAAATGCAACACGGGCAATAGGTGTCGCTGTTTACAACTCCGTACGCAATACAAATATAATAAAAAATAACTGTTACACTGTGATATCTTAGTCAGTTTTCTCAACTGCAGAACAGCGTTAAAAAGTTATTGAAATTGTTAAATTTATTTAATTTTGAGTCCATGATATTTATTTTAACACCATTTTTCACAGTATTACATTTATTTATTAATCAAATTTTATTTTTACTAATCTCAAAATCAACCTTGCCCAAATTTTCTATCATTCAATCCTACCATTTAATCCTTAAGTAGTATTATATAATCTCGAGGATGATCCACGACACGCAGCATCAAGGTGAAACACTCTCAAGCAACTAATTAGTATGTTGTGCTCATATTAACATGTTAATAGCTACCCTTTACGTAAACACCCTCAGTACACATTCTGGCAATGTAGATTCTCACATATCTGTAAAAAAAGGGTAATGAAACAGTACAGACTTTCTCACCAAGCTTATGAATATGAATAATTAATTTATGTAGTTAAAATCGACTACTGATTGATTTGATTTGAACCCGTCTGGCCAGCGTGGTATAGTAGGCCAAAACTTCCTTTCTAAGGAAAGGCCTATGTCCAGCAGTGGACTAGTAAAGGCTGTTGATGATGATTTGTACTGACATATGTATGTTTATATATGTTGTCGAGGTGTATGTAAAAATAAAAATAAAAAATAGTCAAAAATAGAAAAATGATTTCAACTGATAAATAATAAATAGTAATACGAGTATTAATAATAAACACACATCTCACACACGGCCGTCGGATCCCAAACTAGGCAAATAGATTATTCCTGGGATTAAGTTGCTTATAGGAGATAGGACAAAACTTAAATTAATTGATATTAAAGTTATAAATCGATTTGCTAGCTGTCATCTACAGTGTTACAGGTATGTAAGTTTTAATTTCATAAAATGAACAAAATATTTTTTGAAAGACAATTCACTTCAGTTAACGTTAATTTATGCCTTACGTTTAATATGTAGTTCTCAAACATTGTATAAAACGTGTAGCTATTGTGAAAATTATAGGAAACTATGGATATTACATGGATGCTAATATTCAGAAATTACATTTTTCTGTACACTTATTTTTACATGATTTAAAATTTGTTTTATAGTTTTATTTTATGGTAAAGGGGGGCAAATGAGCAGACGTAGTATGTGCTATAGTGTACTGGTATTATAGAAATACTTCCGACAAAGCGCATATTCCAGCAGCAATGCTTTGCTCAAAGCATTCGCAAAAAGGCATCTTATAACCAATTGTCGAAGAAAAATGTATATCTCAGTAAATATCGATTTCAAATAAAATTGCAACCTTTCCTAGATAACGAGGTGACATTTCCCCTTTTCCGGGGCCCGTTTGTCGCCCTCGTCGCACATTGGGAATTTATCCACCGAAATAAGCAGATAACGAACCTAATGGTATCTATAGACGGATAAAATATACGATTGGCTCCACACTTTTGTATAAAGAACCATTGACAACGGTATTTTGTCAAGTTGCAGTTGTTATATATAGCGTGGTTCTAAACGTACAGTATTTCCATAGAACAATAATATTGTACCATATTCATAAGAATTAACAATGTTTGCTATTAAATAAACATAACGGTCACCTTAAATGTTGTCTAGCATTATGTATTTATTATATGGTTTGTGCACACAAGTAATAATATGCAAGCGTTCAACCAAATGCTTGAAGTACGTCGCTTTGTGACTTTCAATAAGCTGCTAATTGACGTTCGCCCACTGTGTCGACTTGCAGCAGCTACGTTTCGATTCATGTTGCTCGTATTTTCAGCAAACGGCATCGTAACGATACCGACCTATAATTCATGAGATAGTTTCTGCTGCTGCTCTGTTGGTTTACATTATTATTTTCTCTCAATGTTTGTCAGTACAGAAAATTGATAAATATAAAAAATTCGTCACCGTTACCGTCACAGTTAGGTAGTCTGCCTGTGTCTCCCAATCATTTTGTGCCATTTTACAATTGGTTGGAAGAGATTGTGTTTAATATGCATGCCCGCCCTAAGTACATTGCCCGAGTCACATGTTGTGAATCTAGTTGTACTCCAACAATGTGTACAAAAAAGTGTTATTATCTATTTATACAATCTAAATATGAGCTTGGCGAAGCGTGTTAAATAATTAAAATAGTTTGATTTACTATAGTTACTTCATACAGATACATCATGACCCATGTCCAACACTTGATTGTATTTAATTTTAGGAATTTACTAGATATATATGGTTTCAAAGTTACAGAAAACTATAAACTACTTTTCTTTTGTCCTCAGATTTTTCTACTTGTACCACTTCTCGTTTTACGCTTACCACTACCGGTTTAATGGGCAGTACAGCAGCCTGGCTTTGGTTACGTCCTGGCTGTTCATACAGGCAAGTATTTTCTTCTTCATTTTTGTGTAATATAATGTCTTAATTAGTTTTAAGTTACCTTACAAATTGAAGGTTATTTGCAATACCCATATGAAGATCTTAATAATTTATATTAAATATAAATATATATATTTCAACTGAGTTAAATTGTAGATAATACCTTCACATGAGAAAATTCTGGTAATTCGGTCCTCTGACATCTTGTGTTAATGTGCGTACTTATTCCAAATTAATTATCACTTCGATAGAACCGATAATAGTAAAGGAAAACATGCTAAAGACCTGCGTAATCCATAACTTTTCAAAGATTTGTAAAATCTTCAATTATAGTACTGTGCGCATATTTTTAAGTGAGAACCATATTATAAACCCTCCCCCCCCCCCTCCAAGATATTCTAACCAATACACAAACTTGCATGTGTATAAGACTACACATTATGTCGTCGTTTGCGCTAAGCATGCGTAGCAATTATAAGCTACTTTACTTACATCTGTTTGTATAGTGCTTTGACGTCTGCCAGCAGGCGGTAAAGCCCTTACGTACTGAGCAGTTAAAGGTTCAGTTTAAAAGACTTAAAACGATGTCAACATGACACTGCTCGGCCGAATTTTTATTTGTAACCTCTAAAAGTATGTATTACGCGGTTTCCAATTGCATCTAGGTGTTAAATAGTTTATTTATTAAGTCTTTAAGTTATTAAGTCTAAGGCAAAGTCCACCTCAGAACCAGATGTAATAGTGTAGAAAAAAGCCTCATAAAATCTCGTGTCCATTTCTTAAGATAGACATGGTCAATGACCAAAATATTTTTTTTTGTCCAAATATTTAGCTTTCTACAGCTCATAATGCGTTATTATAATACGTTATAATAAAAAACAGCAAACTGATAGTTTATTGATGATTACGATTGTTCTTCGTTATATTTTTAAGATTGTGTTGGCTGTATACACTAAAATAAATATTTATAACAATGAATTTGAAAAATTAATTTTGATTTTGTTTTTAAGTACTTTTGGTTTTCGTTATGTTTTTTATTTTCATTTGATTTTGATTTTAATTATGATTTTAATTGCATTTATGAAGAATTTAAGGTGCATTCACTTTCCTGTTCTTATTACTCCAATTTGTCATTAAGAGTGAGGTGACCTGTAATTGGCTTGATGTTGCATATTTTTTTGTCATACACTACTGTTACCAATAAATAAGTAAAATGAGATGATAAACGCACACTATTATATTCGTTCATAATATACACTCACTGATATATATATAGCTTATCCTGCCGTCATCATGCCTAAAATCCAGTTAATATAAAACTACTCGTATATTAAAATACTTTCACTATTCCAGTTTTGTAATAACGTTTTAGCGATGAGAGTTTCATCATTTCATCATGTTATTTTTTGACGAAAAATTTAAATATTTCATTATTTTATTTTATTTATTGAAGGTTAATTTAGTTAGGTTGTTTTTTTTTCTAACGAAAAATTTAAAGATTCCATTATATCATTTCATTTATAGCTAATTGAAGGTTAATTTAGTAAGGTTGTTAGTTATTAAAACATTTCAACATTGCATTACGTACAAACCATACATTTTACGATGAAAGTGAAAATGCATTTATATAATGGCTTCTGGCATGAAAAGTGACGGAGTTGTGGCGAATAAAGTTGGTTTCGATTTTTTTACGACAAAAATTAACAATGAAACCCTTCTCATTACTACCCTAATTGGAATTAAATGTTACATATTTACAAATTAGTTTATTGGTAGTTAATGCAACTGGTCAACCTTTTGTATCATATTTTTGATGTTAAATTAAAAATATGATACAAAAGTTTGACCAGTTTAAAATGCTTATTTTTGGAAAAAAAGGCGAATAGGTCTTTTTGAAACATATAAATAAACACATAAAAAATTGACTTTTTTTAAAATAGTCCAGAAAATAACCCATATATATATAAAAATGCTAGAGTACAGAAAGTATTGTCGATCACAAAAAAAAAAGTTTTTTTTTACAAAAATTAGCCTAGATATGGCTTGTCAAAGTTAGCATTAGGATAAAATCAGTACCGCCCGGGTCTGAGAAATATGAAATTTACATGAGCTTATAGGCTATAAAATTCTCTACGAAATGGTTCTCTTATCATCTCTGCAAATGCAACAAAAAAAATATCAAAATACCAAAAACATATTTCTTTAAAATTTTGGAGCAGATAAATGCGTATACTATACATAATCATATCACCATTAGCACCTACTGAAGGGGTCTTGTGTGTGTGTATGTATATGTGTGTAATATATATATGTGGCGTCAAATTATCATCGCTTTTTCCTACAGTCGATGCTCTAAATGAGCATACGAAATTATGTTATCTGCAGATTTAAGTTTCGCTATAAAATAAAAATATAAAACCAACTGATTGGGGATTGACAAAAATTTAAGGGTCCTTATAACCTACAGTAATAGTAAGGGAGCTCATGATGCTAAATGGGGATTTACTCGAGCGTCATGGGGACCTATTGCATTTGAAAGATTAGGTGATAGATTGAATAAAACTCATGTAATGTTTCCACTTTCAGCACTAAGAAAAGCTTAAAAAATATATATTCGGCTTCAACAGATATTTTGGGGATATGGTATTTGAACGCCAAAAATGCTCTTATTGAACGGTCTGAAGAATAAATTAGTTGTTGAAAACTCACAAACAACTATCTTTAATCAAAAGTTAAATACATTATTTCATTTGTTAAATGCCTAAATTTATGAATTTATCAATTTTGCCAATTAGGGGTAGTTTTCACCCCTAAGAGTCATTAGCACACATCGGCATAAGGTAGATTTTGAAGAGGGGTGTAAGTGGAGCTTAATTCCAAATTTTCAAGAAAATCCATCTTTCTTGAAAAAATTGGGAGGTTGTACCTTATTTTACCGTCATTCACTGGACTAATAACAACATATGGACAAATGCGCACCACAAATTACATATTGCTATACAGTATGGTCCATTTAAAGGTTGCCTGTACGAGATCGCAGACTGCGATAAGGCCGCTCATTGCACCACTGTTTTTGTTTGTTTATATTCTGCATTGTTTGTTTCCTATCCATGGTGTGCAATAAAGAGTACCTATCGATAGATAGGTATAAGTATATATAGACAACAACGACAACAATATATAGACAACATATAGACTATCGAAACATACGTATTTCCTGTATGTACGTTTTGATTTTGACAGGTCCCCTTCACAAGTCCGCCTAAGGGATACAAGAAACAGATACACCAACCTCACGTTTTTGTACATTCACAACGCATCGAGTTTGATTTTCAAAAGTAGTTTTGCTAAGTCACGGTTTTAAAAATAGTCACAAAATATATCCATTTTTACTAAAGAAATTTAGTGAGTAAATTACCTTTTAACAGTAAGGAATCTTCATACCCAATATTATTTTGGTCTACTGGATTTTCCTGTATCTGACAATCATTTCCCAGCTGTAAATGCAGCTGCAACGCGTTTGTATAACTTTTCAAAAGTTGATATTGGCATCTGGACGTCTTTTCTTCCTGTATGAATGTTTTAATCGTATTGTCAAAAATGCACTACTTTTTACAACCTTAAACATTTATTTTCACGTTTAGTCCTTATTTAGTTTTGATTGAGACTAAACTTTATAATATATACCATTAAATAGATAATAACATTACATACTAAGCCACAGTGGGGCCAACATATAAATAAATGATCGAGTAGACTCAGCTCATCATCATCACAGTTAGAAAAAATCGAGAATTGACTGATATTGGTATAGCACGGCTTGTTTACTTATTTTCATAGCATAAAGTCGTACGGTATTCTACTGTGGAGGAATGCTGCCGATACTCAAACTATTTTTGTGCTGCAAAAGACAGCGATTTGAGCAATTTATAATTTAGGCAATCATTGTTCATTGAGGCATAAATTTAAAGAAATAAGCATAATGACAGTGGCAAGTCAATATATATATATATGTTCTAAAAACAAAGACGCTTCTAAAAACAAACAAACTTCTTGAAAAGAAGTGATGTACATGATTTAAATACCAGAAATAGAAATAAACTTGATGTACCTGCCTTTAGGCTCCAAAAGATAAACAAGTCATTTCGAGGTCAATGTATCCGATTATATAATAATGTGTGATTCTAAATAGTTGTATACTATTAAGGATTTTAGTAGAGACAAATTTAAATCCACAATAAAACATAAACTATGTAAGAAAGCCTACTACTCAATTCTAGATTACATAGACAAGAATGCTTGGGATTAATTTAGCACGGGCTATTTCGTAGTGGAAATGTGACGTGGGCTAGTGTGTCTTTTTTTCCATTCTTTAGTTTTCCATTTTATGTTTTACTTCACTTTCTTTATTATTCCATGTTTTTTCTATATCTTGTTTTCTTTTCATTGCTTTTTACCTTTAAGCCATTAAAACTTACATACTGGCACACATCAAAATCATGTTGTGTTTATTTAATGATGGTATTGTATGAATCTGTTAATTAAAACAGAGTGGCCCTGAGTTTGTAGGCCCTTTCCTCTCACGAGGCTCAACCCATTGAAAATAGGCGTTTGTGGATCGGCACAGACATATAAGAGTTTTTTGATACGTAAATATTTAGTTTACTAAATATTTGACAAAACAGAGATTGTTGCTGTTGTGTGCTGATCTATGTTTTCAGTTCAACACTCAATTCCAATTATTATTTTTATGAAATAAAGATTTTTTAGTTTACCAATAACGTCTGTTGTATGTCTTTATCTATCAAAAAGAGAAAAATTGACTTAAGATGCATGCGAATTCATTTTAAAAAAGTGGACTAGTTTAACAAATATGTGAGAAGTTAGTTTGCGTTCAATCAGTGTCAACGTCTGTTCACAAATCACTTTACCGTAGCTAGTGAGTCATCGCGGTACACGCGGTCCCCTCGGGCTGGCGGAAAATATTACACGCATAGAGCCGT